CCTCCCGCCCCCACCCCCCCCCCGCCCCCCCCCGCCCGCTCCAGGCCGACTCCAATAACAACAGGGTGGCAAACCTTCGACCATGAAAACGTATGTTCGTGCTTTGCTTCCCGTTTTACAAGGCCATCCCCAGCTAATGCACCTTGAGTACAGCGCTCTCCTTCCGGAGCATGACTTCGTTAGGCCGCTGCGCCAGCGCCTTTCCAAGGTCGACAGAGGCCTCTCTACAAGACGGCATAGTTTCGTGGGCGGGCGCGTGCCGGGGGGGGGGGATGGAAGTTGGCCACTAGCAGTCGCAGTTTTTTTCAACGAGGTTAACATGTTGGATAAAACATACAAACGGGGAAGTTGGGTTAGGCTCGGGTTATGGAATAGCGTCTTCGTCCCCCCTCCCTGTTTTAGTTACTCAGAAAGTGCGTCAGTCTCGCGAAGGCGGTTCAAGGGGGCTCGTTTGACAGCAGTGTGATGAACCAATCAGGTCCCTATACAGTTACTGCGTTCTGCCGCCACATCTGGTTGCGGCTTGGGTGCATGTTTCACATAATCACTGTATCCTTGACAATCGGGGGCGTTGCGTGTGGTAGTCATGCCTCCCAGGCGGCAGGAAACCCGCAAAGCAGCAATCTGAATGCAATCCTTCCGTTGTGTAGAAGGACCATGCTACAACCTGTCGTAGTGCACACGGACATAATACTGATGAGAGAAAACTACTCACTTGAACCGATCACGGAGACGATAAACCACAGCGCGGCGGTACAGGGCCTTGACGTTGTTCGGCTCCGCCCGCAAAGCCTTCTCGAGTCCCAGGCGGAGTTTGCAGGTCCGGCGGTGGACAAACAGAGGGAGGGACAGAGGGACACGACGCAGCCGCGAAAGCAACGGGGCGAGCGATCTCTCAATTCATCATTTGAAGTTCGTGCGATTCTCGAAGTCATGCGAGTTTTGGGCCCAATCGGGCCAGCCGTGACCCCAAGTCAATGCTGGTACCACATATACACGGTACCTGATCCTGTACCACCTCCAACAATTACTCAACGTATTCGAACGGTCCATGCCATGTTTCTTAGTGCAGCTGTTGCGGTGTATGGTGGAGTGGCATACAACAACTTTCCATGGCTCAGCTCACGAGGCATCCTGTCACAGCGGCTGATTTCGCAGCACGCATACCCCACCAGCTTACGTTTCAGCGTGTCAAGCGGTCTACAACACAGCAATGCAGCATGTCGAGCAAAGGAGCAGCATGCCACGACTACAGCAAAGAAGAAAACAACCGGGCGCCCGACCTCACGGCGCAACACCAACGATAGCGACAGTGACCATGACCGTTGTAAGCCGCCCGAAGGACAAAAAAAAAAAGAAAACGGTAGGACGCATGCAGCGATGACCTAGAATCAAGCTTAACCACTCATAGTAAGAGACCTAACCTCCCCCGCTTTTCCTCCCAAGATCAACTCGAACAGTCACAAACTCCGACATCCTCATGATGAAACACACACACACATACATACACACACGCGGCCGATAAAATGAGTGAGAAGGCAGCAGCTTGCCTGGTAGCAACAGTCCAGCGTCTGATCGAGCTCTCCACAGGCCAGAAAACACGCCGCAGAATTGAGGAGACACGCCTGCCGGATATCGTCTAACTCCTGCTGCTGCGAGTCCTCGTCCGGAAAGCAGAAGTCGTAGTAAATCAAGGCCTGCGGGCGGGAGCGCGGGTATCGGTAACGGGGGGGGGTGAGATAGAGTTGTGTGCGTCTGACGTGTTGCACTTCTAACTGCGGTAGATCGTAGCCACACAACTGCGTGTGTCACAAAACAAAGTCCCTACAAGGTTCATGGCTTCAAGGGGGTATCCCCCGTATCACGACGAAAAAAATACGCTGGTCTAGCAGGGGCTGTCAATCCGATTCAAGGAGGTTTTCATATCTCTGGATTAGAGGGGAAACGTCAAAGTTGATTCCTCCGGTGTCACAACAACCCGAATGCGCGAGAAGACAAGAATCAGCGACCATTTCCAAATGATATCGTCTACCTTGGTAATTGGAGGGGAGATAGGACACGGACCAAGACACGTCAAATTCCACCCATAAGTGAGGGCAACAACGAACGAAGGCGCTTCCCTTTCATCTAGATGGACACGCCCTTGATTACGTCAATCTGGCATTCTTCGAAGAATTTTGGCATTCGGGATTAACATTGCGAACCGCCCCAAAAAAACGTTGCCAAGCACTGGATTACCACTCCATCGTAAAGTTCATCTGCGCCGAAGAAATCTTGACATTCCGTTTCGGTCGCCTGCCCATTTATATAACGCTAGCATCGGGATTCTGGCAAATTAAAACACCTCTCCACCTGCCGATATTGCAGAGCCCCTCGTCGGTACTGGCCCTCGGCATGAAAAAGGTTGCCTCTCTGTCTGAAGTCTCGGCATGCTGAAATCTTCTCCTCGATCGGCATCTCCATTACCTTCCTTTCCTAAAGGGATGTGGGACCACGCAGCACAGCCGACAGCGGTGACAAGACGTGTTTGGTGATTGGACCGCATAGCCCTCGTTCAGCGTCGTGTCGAGGGGGGAACTCGTTGAAGCGGCAAGATAGTGCTGGTTATACAGGTGTAGACTACTCTTCCATGACGCACTTGTCAGCGTCTGTACGAACATGGCATGAGGCACGAGGGAAAGATATCCCGTCGAGAGTTAAGGAGGGTGTACGTCTACCATTGAATGACTACGTGGTCATGCTACAGTACATGCTACAAGGCAAACAGCGCAAACACGGCTGAGGACAAGGTACCACTGATCCCAACATCCCGATTTGTTTCGCGCCCTATTATCGCGTATTGATGGTTTTCTGCGTCTTCGTTATTTTTCCTTTTTGGTGTCTTGAAGGGTATTGCGGGTAGTTGGTCTGTTGCCACGGAAGGCGTCCGCGTCCGTTGGACCGGTGCGGAGGTTACAAAGCACTGAGCAGAGACCAGCGCGGTTTTAAAATTCAAGACAAGAGCTACAAGAGCTACAAGAACTAGAACCCACGCGCCGAACGAGTACTCACGGCAGAGCGGTCGTGAGCGCAGGCCATATGGTTCTCCCGGTAACTCTTTGCCCGCTTCTCCTCCTCTTCACGCTTCTTGGCCAATTCGTCAGGATCCTTGACGCCATGTCACACGGGAATCAAAATTGATCATCAGCAAGCAGAGGTAGGAGGGCAGGTGTGACATCGGAGCATAAGCTGACATCAGATAGGCGAGGTTTCGGGGCTGTAAGTGTCTCGGGGATAGAGGCGTAGGCATCGACATTAACATGGCGTAGAAGGAACGGGAAGGCCAGCTTCAAATGAACCCTACACATTGTGAGCAATACTCAGGATGGATGGAGGCGCAGGCGGTGGCAGGGTTTTCTCTAGCCTCTAGCGTGAAAGTATCCTGCGCACAACACGTATTTCTTTCCAAGAACAGATTGCCGTGTGCCCTCGACTGCTTCCCCAATTGAGTTTTCTTACTTCAAGCAAGTGCCGTTTGTGTCATGTTGGTACGATGGCGTCACGAGGCAGACTCCAAAACCCTCGGTTGAAGTTTCAATTTCAAGTGCCGCTTGTTGTGTCTTGGCACGATGTCGTTACAAACGGCGATGATACTAAACTACAAGCAAGCAGAAATGATAATAATACCCCGCTAGTAGTAGTGCGGGGTCACGAACAACGTATATTGTATGTATTCTCTACTTTGTTTGTTGTACAATAGATACAGTAGTCTAGAAAATATATTCGTATAGCATCTACCGACGGACTGCTGCTGCAGCTAGCTGTAGACCACGAACGAACTGGTTGCTCTAAATTGCTGTAGCGAGGTTACTACGTACGGACAACGTTCATACAATACATACAATACATACATACATAGAGAAGAAGCAGTAGCAACCTACGCATGCATGCGCAAGGAGATAGATGCAATTTTTTTAAATTCTAGGCCCGACGGATGCAATGAATGCAAAAGGAGCCGTTGAATGCTCGTCACGCACAGAATGTACTGAGTGAGGTGATAGATAGATGTGCAGCAGGCACACGAAAGATAGCGCAATGGATAGCGAAAAAAAGGATATACCCCATTTTGTGCCGAAACACGCCGGGTATACCCATTTTTGTCAATTGCCCTAGTTCTTTTATTATTATCGAAAAAAAATGTACCTCTGTAGGCTCGTGCTTGCTACGTTTGTACCATTGGCTCACATCTTGTTTACGACACAGACAGCAGCAGCAGTGCAGACGTTGAGTTGTGGGGGCGCCAGCCAGTCAGTGTGATTTGCATCAGAGAGGGAGGGCTGGTATTTACCGCCGGCCAGAGAGGGGGGGGGGGGCGTACTCATTTGTTGCTTGCCGTAGTCATTTGGTCGTACTCTTGTGTTTTGCATGCCTTAGCGGTTAGACCATTGACCACGCGTCCTCGAGAGGACGGAGCATTGTTCCCACAGGACTGATCACCGATGGCCAATCGTTCCTTCCTACTTTGCCAAAGGTGGCTCAAAAGTGTCTTCCCTAGTCTGTCTATCTTAACGATATCCCTTCCCGCCTTTTCAAACCACTTCCTACTCCCCAGTACAGCTACCGTCCTCTCCTCTCTATTCCATGCCTCAAACATCTCCCTGTACCTCCCTCCTATTTTCCCAGCTCAGTCATGTACACTTCCCTCTCCTCTTCGTACCACGGACATTCCGCGACTACATGAACACGGTCTTCGCATTCGAAGCCGCAATCACATTTGAACTTATCGTCTTCGTCGTCTACCGTCCTATGTCTTCGCCGACGTTCTCGAAGGCCTATGTCCCCGGTCCTGAATTTGGCCTTAAGCTTTGGTCCCTGCATCCATTGGTCCATGTAGGTAATCCTTGAACCCTATTCCTTCTTTTAACATTCCGTACACTTCTAGACCCTCCTTATCCTTCGTTTCTTTCCTTAGATTCTGTTCTTCTCTCTCGGCACAAGCAACAGATATCTTCTCCTTGAACCCCTGTAGACCCTCCGTTTCCAGCGTTTCATCTTCGTCGTTGTCTAACCCTTTCCATACGTCCTCTACAACCTTGACCCATTCCGTGGGTTGTCTACTCCTCTTTTTGTTTGCCCACTTCGCCTCCCATACTACTCTCGGCAACCTCTCCTCTCCCATCCCGCACATGCGATACTGGCATGCCAGCTTCCTTGCGTCTCTTCCCGACCGTAGGGATTGGATCCCCAATTCTGCCCTTACAGCTGCATTACATCAGCTATGAAGGGGGGTGTGGTATTCATCATCAGCAAGAGAGGGGGGATGATATTTACCGTCAGCTAAGGGGGGTGGTATTCATTGTCATCAGCAGGTAGGAGAAAAAAAAAGCTCGCTCATTTTGCTGTGCCTCTCTCTCTGCTTTTTGTTCGAGCTGGCAACTCGACAGCTTGTGCGATGGAGGTGGCCAGACACACTAGTCCCTCGACAACAAGTGTAGAGGGGCGTACAGCAGTACGTATTGCACCACCAATGGTGGTGCGTAGCAGCAGCGTCTGTCTGTGTGTTGTTGGTGTGATGTGCCTCTCTCCAAGGAAGGAGAGAGGCATGAAGAGGCGCTGCCGCCGTCAACTGCCGCCGCCGCTGGCTGCTAGCAAGAATCGGTGGCAGAGACCCAACTAGACGTTTATCTCTCCTCTCGCTTCCTACGCCGATAGCTGACAGCAGCATGTACAGGGCACACGCTGCTCCCGCCGTCTCGCCCTCACTGTGATGTGTGTTTCCCTCCCCCTTGGTCCATGTCCGTCTGGCTCCGTGTGGATGTATGTGGTGTCTTGCGTGTCAGCCTAGTACAAGTTGTTGTTGTTGTTGTTGTTTCTCACATTAGCTCTAGAGTCAAAAATGGGGAGCCGAGCCCGTGGTCGCAAAACCCGGCACATACGACGCCACGGGGAAACAAACAAGAATAGATTACAAACCACTCGGAAAAAGAAAAATAAATGATGGAAAGAAAATAACAACTACCGCGCCGACCGGTCGAGAAAAGGAGCCCTAGGAAACCGATCAAAATGAAACAATACAAAAATTAAAAACAAAAATAAAGGCAAAAAAAAAGGGAAAAAGGAGAACGCTTCCCACACCCGCCTAAAAAGATCAAGGGTACCGTACCAGCATCAGGCACTACGCACCAGGGCATGGGAGTAATGGAGGCAACAGAACAAAGAGGCGGCAGATGGGCAGACAGCCATATATATAAAAGCAAAAGCAAAAGCAACAGCAAAAGGGAGACCAAGGTACCCAACAAGGCAGAGTAGGTAGGGGGGACATGAAAAAAGAAGCACAGCACAGAGGCCGAAGGCAATACAAAGGACATACAGGAGTATAGCATACAGCAGGGAGGGAAACAGGGCGCAACAACATCAGCCGGGTACATAGTTTGCCACAAGTGCTGCCTCGGCCGCCCTACTCGCTTCTACAGCAGCAGCGCCCGGTCGCCGTTTCTTCCCTCCCACCGCCGCTTCCCGACTGTCACTCTCTTCGGTCCCGAAATGGCCGTACTCCTACTTCTGCTTCCCTCGCGCGCTGGCGCTTCGCGGACGCTTCCGCCTCCTGTCTGTGCCATTTCCTCATGAACCATGCCGCCCCATCCTCGACCTTGTTGTACCACGCCTCCGGCTCCTTGGCGCTCTATTTCCATTTCCGCCCTTCCTTTTCGTCTCCCATGTTGAACGCCACGAGGTCCTCTCCTAGACGAGACACCCAGTCGCGCTCCTGCCCGCCCCGGTATCCCACGACCCCCGCCGTCGCTCCTACCAGCATGCGCTTGGGGAGGCGGTTATCCCCCATGCGCATAATGAAGCCCGCGAAACACAGTCTCCGTTTGCGCACTGTGGCCTCGATGGTTTCCTCGCAGCCGGCCTGGATGAGGGCCTGGGCATAGGACAGGGGGCGGTCTGAGCGTTTCCGCTTGCTCCAGCCGATGCACAGTGTCAGGAACTGGCGTTGGGTCCCATGCTCCGCTGTTACGCTCCACGAGGCGCACCCGCATAGGAGAGACTCCACCACTTCAGCCTGGAGTAGCCGGATCTTGAGCTGGCGGTCGGCCCGTCGCCTGTCGTACATCGAAGCACTGTTCCGGCGGTAGCACTTCCACGCTCGGCAGCTGCGGCTCGTGATCTCCCGGTCGGCCTCCCCGTCCGCGCAGATGGTACGTCCGAGGTACACAAACCGATCGGTCTGCTTGTACGTCTGACCGGCGGCGCTGACCGTGAGCGGGCGTTCCTCGATCCCTTTCGGCAGCATGCACATGATCTCCGTCTTTGGCTCCGATACCATCAGTCCGAACAGGCCCGCCACGCGCACGATGACCGACATCATCTTCTCGAGACTCTCCGGCGAGCGCGACCGGCCCGCAGCGGAGAGAAAGAAAAGGGAACTTCTCACAGCGCTAACCTGTATGCACTGTTTGTGGCAAGGGACTCCACGCTGTCAACAATCTCGCTAGTCGTGCTCGCTGATGATCTGGCTAGTACGCACGATCGCACCCGAATGAAGGAGCACCAGAACGCGGACCGGTAGTTTAGTCCCGCTGTTTCGGCAAGAACAAAATACCTCCGGGCGAACTTGCATTTGTAGTCACAAGAACATCATGATATATCCTGATTGATTGACGTACTATTAGTTTGCTTGCCGTCAGAGATGCGCATCGCTACCGAGAGCGAGGAAGGCAGTAACCCCTCGCATAGCTTCCTACGCACGTGATGAGAGTGTGCTGCCGTCGACCCTATCCCTCGAGCTCACACACAGCCATACCCGACACATGGCAAGAAAAACATTCCCCAACAAAAACTTAAATTTACTGTTGTGTGGGCGGATGGAGGACCCCAAAAAACAAAGCATGAATGCAAAAAATATATGTATGCATTGTCCATGCATATACTGTAACTACAAAAAAGAGCCGACCCTGACCCGACAGGTTTCAGCGAGGAGGCGGAGGAGAGCATAGAAAAAGCGCTTTCGCCGCTCTAAACCCCCGGAAGCTCTCACATAGGCACTGCGACAAACATCATGGCCACGCCCATTACCTGGCAGCGCCCATCGTGTCACATGCAGCAGCCGGGTGCACCTGCAGCCTCGTGTACTCAGACAGCAACAAACAAAACTACAGAATCTTCGGACGGACTTTCTGTTGTGTGGTATCGTTGTAGCGACAATAAAGACAACGAACATGACTAGAGAAGAGCCTAAGCACCACGGACGAACTACCTCAATACGCCTGCCGTCCGTGCTAGATGTGCACGTCTACAAGACAAGCGTCGACCGTCCTCATCGCTGTACTACGTGTGTACACAAGTGCAGAGATTGTGCTGCCATCGAACAAGTCCCCATTTACGTACGCAGCCAACATGCAATGCTTGCTTGCGGCGGACCGTCCGTGTTGTTAGTCTTTGTCTCGAACTGCTGTTGTTATTCATGGATGACGACACAGACAAAAAGGCAAGAGACGCGGATCGTTTCCTATACGCGAGCAACTCACTGCCTACGCGAGCAACGCGCGCAACCTATAGAGACGACTACCTTACGAGCTTTGCAGCACATCTCGAGCATCACTCAGCAAGAAATAAATTACACACAAACGCAGAAAATCAAAAACGGAAGATTGTGGCGCGCAGCACACAGGGCCCTCTTTCTCTGTTCAACCGGCCGTTCCTATGGCGATACATGGAAGGAACAGTCAAGGCCGAGTCGTGTCAGCCACAGGAGGTGGAAGCTGCTCAAACTCGGGGAGGGGTCATGGGTTGCGATTCCCTACCGAACCATACTTGAGGCGCCACGAGAGTTGCACTGTAGCTCGAGATCAGCATTTGAGACCCTGTCCGGCAAGGGGTGGGCTATGCGAATGAAAATGACAGGGACATAAAAAGTGAATTGAGGTCGCTTGGGAATATACAGCAGTAGGTGTTTTTTCGAGGGGGCGTGTAGCACGATCCGAAAACACGCGAGAGTCGAAATATAGTCTACACAAGAAAATTACACACAGCCAAGTCTTTGCAATGTTAGTCTCCGCCTCGTCTGCAACAGCATATCCCCGAGATAGAATAGGAAGACATAGTTGGGTGTGTTTTGTTTTGGCATTGGTGTTGTGGGTGTTTTTGTTCTTGTTTTTGTGCGTTGTTTCGGGTATTTCTTGATTTTAAGTTGTTGGGGACGCAGCACATACACCAGCATCTCCGTACTGTTGTGGTGCTGTGGAGTACATTGTAGCGGCCGGCAACCATCGGCATGCTACACGAAACGAGAGTAGCTTGTCTGTGTCGGTCAACCCCGGCGAGAGACCCTTAAATCTACCAATCCACCGCGGATTCGTGTTTGCTTGCTGCCGCTACGGACGATTGCAGCCAAAATAACAGGGTGCACGGATCGATCTAGCTTGTACACGGGGGCAACACATGGAGAATTCCAGCCATCGTGTATTTGAGGGGCGGCAATCGGACTCTCCATGGCTATGCACTGCAGCACCCATAGCCCGCTATTTGTGTATACCATGGATGGATCTATGGGTTTTGAGCCGTCGTTCGCCGTCGTTTGTGTAGACGTCGGACAGCTGCTAGAGAGGGGGTGCACACTTACTTGTAGACAGCAGTAGATGGACTCATTTTGCGGACTCATTTTGCGAACTTTGCCTGCAGTACCGCCAACCAGATCCAATGCTTCCCCCCGCCCCCGCCGGATGTCCACGACGCAAGATGAAAAGAGTGAATGTGCGGCAATGTTGAGGGCTCCTCCGATCCTCCTCCTGTTTGATCACGCACTTCCAAGAAATTGTATTGTAGACCTATAATCTGCTGCTGAGTTTTGTATGCATACTTGTACCAAGGACTCACCTCCCAGCCATCCCATTTGTCGTAGGTGTGCGTCCAGTGAGGAGCGTCACGTCGAGCATTGTCTCCACCATGGGCGACTGCTGGCTGCGCCATCGTCTCGTGTGAGAGAGAGCGCTGGAATACCCTCGAACAACGCGAAGACAATGCGGGGAGATACCGTAGGCGATGTGGTACAGTAGTTCCCGAACCGGAACGAGCACGACACAGCCGGGGGCGTATTATTCCGATACCAAACAAACACACAGGCCTGCTGCCAGTGCCGAAAACACACACACAGAACTCAAAGCTACACAAGGAAAGTGGAGAGAGAGAGAGAGCGCTTAGGCAGAAGGGACAACTACAGCAGGTACGTCTACCCGAGTCTACCCACCTCACGGACGGGTCACTCACCCCTCCACCTACGTGTGCTATTCTGCGAACCCCCCGTCCTGTTTTTTTTTTCCTCCGCAAGCTGGCTCTTTCCCTGCTCCGGACGCTGATGCTGTTCCTCCAGCCGCTCTCCTCGTGATTGCTCTTGCTCCAAACTAACCTAGAGAGATGCGCATCCACTGAGAGCGCTACTAATGCATAGCGGTGTGTATGCCAACCACGAGCAAGGATTAGTATATACGTGTCGTGAAAATGCGATAAGTATAGAATATGTACAGTAGTCTTCTAGAAGAAGAGGCCTCGATTTGTAAGCAATCAAGAGGGTCCTCCCGTAGGTTCAGTACCACAGGGACCCTGCCTAGCGATGAATTTTTAACCCTTACGTGACTACACCCCCGAATCGGGCATGTTAGCAGGCACGATAACTCTTATATGCGACAACTTTCGAACCGAATTGAGCTGTGGATACCTGCGTCGACGACGGCTCGACGGTACGACTAGACCGCTCGAAAAGAAACAAAGTAACGACCGGGGACAGAAACAGCACGTCCCCTATACAGAAAATTGAAAGCCTGGGAGTTGCAATGCTCCGCAGCACCCTGCATCCCGCGCTGCTGCTGTGCTGCTGTGGACCTCAGTCCAGCACGCAGAAACGCGATAATGATGCTGTTTTTCCTCCTGCTTGTTGCGATTTTTCGCACGAGCGCTATGGACGGGGTTCCTGTGTATCACGTTCGCAAGGAACAGGAGCTAGCTCCCCAGCCGGCTGCGTTGGGCCAACGGGTACAGCAGCACATCGATGGATCTGCGTCGCGCATCATTTGCAGCACAGAATTGACAAGAGGTGGGAGGGTTATGGTCTTGCCCGACCGCGCTGGTGTGTATACCGTAAAGCCGGATGGCCACTGCGGGTTTAGTGCGATGTCCGCGGGTGTGCAGGTTTGCCTCGGTAGAACAAGGGCCGCCCCCACCCCAGAGAACATGAGGAGCGTGGTCGCCCGTCGAGCCACGGAACATGTTCTTGGCGCATCCGGTGTTGAGGACTTGACAGCTGTACTCTCACCAGACCAGCTTGGGCGGGCCCGGAGTGTGCGTATACCGGATGTTTTAGGAGCTGCCGTGGAAGAAATGACGGCGCCGGAGGATAAGACGG